CCAAGCAGAAAAGAGCCTGTGCCGACAAGGACAGGACCACCATGTGTCACTGGACACCAGGCCAGCAGACCTCCAGGTGCTGGGAGAGACGAGTAAAGAATCAGTGGCTAAATCACTGGTTTGTTGGCATTTCCTCCATCACACGAATCCTCTATGAAATGTTTTATCCAGAATCGTTTTTAACCAAAGGAGCCTTTACAGAAAAGGTAAAACAAACTGACTCAACAGGAGGAGACAGGGGGTTTTCTTACTTAAACCCTGGCTGAATTCGTTCTCTTTTTTTCCTCTATAAAACATGGGCTGCAAAAATGCAAAGAAAATGTGAAACAATACACTTTAGAGAAACTGAGGCACTGGAAAGCTTGGACCCTGACACTGCACCCTCAGCTGCGCTGTCTGTGAGACGGTAACCTAGAATGTGAACATTAAGTTTTGCAACCAAGAGAACATCCACGGAGAGGAAAAGATAGATGAGAAGCATTTTGGAAACTTGGCTTTTATGGTAAAGAAGGTATGTTTTGAATGCACAAAGCATTTTTCAGCTCTCCTGAGAGAACGCAGCAGACAAGTTTATGCTCACACATAAATCTCCAGCCTTGCTCTCCTCAAACTTCACCTGCTCGCGATGCATTTGAAGATGGCATCTGAGCCATGTGGCTCTGTAGGCTCCGGGGAGTGAGGGGCACAGATAAGGGGTGGAGACAGGGAAAGAGGCAGAGGACAGGAGACATAGAGCAAAGGGAGGAAGGAGAGAGGCAAGAGAACTGGGACAAGATCAAGGGCTTGTGTTACAACGCTACCTCCTCACGCTGCGGCATTTATGCCGCTGATTCAGAATTGGCTAATGAGGACACGGTGAGTAAGGCTTTGGCAGAAGCTGTCAGGGCAACTAAGCCACAATGAAAAGCCTCACATCTGGTGCTGTGCCCGAGTGCGGATTGAGTGCCGACTGGGTGCTGGCCCCACACTAGGAATGTCACTGGACAAGCAGCTGACTTCAGATGCCGCCCTTTACTGGAAGGGACGTGGAGCCATGAAGAGAGGCTCAGCAATGAATACAGTGGGGTTGTATCGCTGACCGTGAGTCACACTTTCATCTCTGAGACCCCAGAGTAAAAAGGAATTTCACTATTTATTTCAAAAATGGAACTTCAAAATATCGATGACTTACTTTCTAGAAACAATGCCATCTTTTATTCAGGAGAATAAAACGTAGCTTGGCTCCAGTGACAGCACAGAAACTGAACACGCACGATGTGGATATAAATTCCTGAAATTGCAAATGCACAACATATGTTATCGTTTGCATCTAGATGTCCCCCCAAAGCCTCATGTAGTCTTGGGGCTTTTACAGAGGTGGCTGAATCTATACTATGTGATGCTGGGATTAGGGGTAGATGACTATGAAACCAGTGCACTGATTGCCTCGACATCACCCTAATCTCAGCAGCCTAGATAGAGTCTAAAAGGGGCAGAAAGAAGCTGCTCAGGTCCCTTGCTTGCTTTACTACCTTCTACCTGCCATGAGCTGTTTCTCCTCCCTAGGCTACCCTGCCTTGAAGCCAGCTAACTAAGGAATGAACCTCTCCAAACTGTGAGCCAAATAAACCTTCCTCCTTTAGCTTTGGGTGTTGGGTAATTTGTTTCAGCAATGAGAAAAACAACCAAGACAACGTGGTTGGACACAGGAGACAGGAGAAAGGAGTGATCTGAACTAAGATTACACTTGAGCCTGTGCAACACTGAGAGGATCTGAACTCCCAGTGCTGTATATCAGAAGTGAGAGAGGGTGCACCTGAGGGGGCGAGTGTGCATGCACACCTGAGGAACGTCTGATCCATCTCGGAAGACCCCCTACTGCCCTCTGGGTGCAGCTTTCTGCCTTCTGCACAGCCGTCTGTAACTGTACCTAGGCTCAGAGTCAGCTGTGAGCGGTGCAGCAGGTCTTAGCGGCACGCTGTGCTGGGGTGAGGGGCAGGCGTGGGCCTGAATGTGCCCTGAGGGATGATATGAGGGCCGGGCATCCTCGAGGTCTAGGGTGTCGGACAGCCCGCAGGGTTGTGTGATAGCCACTGCTCCTGATGCCCACGGCCCTGAGCTCCGCGCTGTGCCCAAGGGGTGTTCGTCATCGCACGGCTGTATCTCTTCTGCTGCTGTGATGGAGAGCAAGGGCCGGAGAAGAGAGCTGCTGAAGGCGGTGCTCATGCAGCCCTGGAGACGGGAAATCTCTCTTCATTCCCCCAGCCTGGTGCAAAACAGAGAGAGCGAGCCCAGCCCCGTCCCAGCAGTGGCCAACGCTGTACGTGCAGCAGTCTGTGACTGGTGCATGAGTGGAGGTCCTGCTTTTCAGGTCCTAGAGATAGTGCTGTATTTCACATGAGCTCCCCAAATATTTGATAAACCAATTCCCACCAAGTCCCCCATTTTGCGCATGAGCTGTCACTTCTCTGTTACATAATATCCATTAAAGCCTTGGTGGTTGTGCCCTCAAGAAAGGCCCTGAGGGTTTTATCATTTAGGGCATATTTAAACAAAGAACCAATCCCAGGGCTAATGCAATAATCCTGCTTTGAATTCTAATTAAAATAAACCAAGGCTGAGCTTGCATCTGCTGGTGGAGCAGCTCCCCAACCTGGAAAGGTTAACACAACAAAGGGCGGTGGCCTCCTGTGGTTTTAGGGGGCTTCTAACTTCTCTGCAACATAGATTCTCTAAAATATTTTAAACCAAGGAAAATAGTAAAACTACACATCTTTAGAGTGAAGACAAGACATGCAGAATCGGGTAAAGGAATGACTTCATCTGCTGGTCGTGGAAGGTCAGGTAACTAACTAGCACATGTCTAAGGACAGCAGGATGGCGCTGGAAACTCTAACGGGACTCATTTCCAATATTTTGATGAATACTCTTATTTAAACAACTCCATCCCAGAGCCCAGTGTGGCCTCATCAACAGCGTTTGGGGCCAGTGGTGAAACACATGACAAGCGGAACTCTGTGGTCGAGGTTCAGGTTTCCCAGACTCTGACCTTTCTGTGCACACCGCCTCTCCCCATTGGAAAGAGCAGCAAACTGAAGACATACTGTGGCGTTGCTGAAAATAACTGGCCAAGTAAGATGTGTGAGCTGCCGCCGGTGGCTGTTCTGAGGCCACAAGCTGGGGAAGAATCCCTGGGCTTTAGGTAAGAAGCCCCTCTCCACACCCATGGTGATGTTCAGCCCAGGGATATGGCCTTGGTTAACTGCAGTGTGGAGCTGGGAAGGCACCATGCAGTTCCCCTTCTCCAGTGTAAAACAGTTACCTCTGGAGGACGGAGCTGAGGATGTGGGGGAATGAGGCAGTGAGAGGGCAGCAGAGCTCAGGCCGGAGCTTTGCGCCTGGAAAGCAGGTGGCCCAGCCCCTGTGCCATCCCTCTCTGTGGCCCACTGGGACCTGGGTGCACAGGAGAAGGGAGACGGTGGGCAGGGAAGGAAGGCTCCGTCTGCGGTCTTCTCCCTGTCACTCCCACTGCCTCCTGAGCTCTGCTTCCTCTCAGGTCTGCTCAACAGTTGACTCTACCAGGCCCAGAACCCCGCTGCAGATTGCCTGCCGGGGATCCAGTTCACATTACATACTGCAAAGCAATAATAATAGAAATAAAGTGCTCAATAAATGCAACATGCTCAAATCATCCTGATGTTTTTCCCTTCTATCTGTGGAAAAACTGTGGCCCCGGAAAATGGTCCCTGGTGCCTCAAAGGGTTGGGGACCCCTGCTATTGGGGACCTTTGGTGCACCCATAGCATGAGCAGCCAGTGTTTTGCACAAGCGCTAGTGTGTTCATATTCCTATGAGCTATGCCTGGCCTCCCAGCCCAGGTCACAGTGGGCTTAGCCTGCTCAGGTCTGTAGGGCTACAGGAGAGGGTAGGGTGATAACTCAGAGTCTGTCTCTTGTCACAGCTCTGTCAGCAGGTGCACAAACACCATGATCACACACATCCCATCTGCACAAATTAATAGAGATGCAGTGTAGGAGCAAGTGGGTCGCCCAGAACACTTGTTTTTCCTCTGTTTTTCCCTCTCTTGGTTACTCGAGCTCCTGCTGTCTCAACTGCAATAGCAACAAGGTCCTGGACCTCAGGTGCTCGAGTGGTCCTGGGACCAGGGGTACACACTGCATACTGCGGAGGCCAAGCATGAGGTGCAGGAGAGAGGCTGCCAGTGGTGCCTCCTGATGCAGACATGAACCTGGGCCCCATGAGCAGTGACAGAGGACCCATCCTTGGTTTCTTCTAATTCACCCAATGTGATTTCCGTGAAGATGAAGAAAAGTCCACTTCTCACGACGACCCTCTGCACAATCACCGTGGGTCTCACAGGAGAGGAAACACCAGCAGCAAGACGCCTCACACATTCACGCCTTCTCCATCTGCCGGAGGCTCGGGGGTGATGAACCATGCCACCCCCATGCCAGTCCTAAGTGCAAACAAAACAACACAGTCACACACATATTCCACAGCAAAACTGATCGTGGGTGGGGTGAGCAGGATGCATCAAATAATATTTCAGCTACAAGGCTTCACTGTGGAGCTTTCCCAGAGGAGTAAGCTCAAGGCATGACAAGCTCTGAACAAGTCCACTAGGCACATGCTCCCCATGCTGCACCTGGCTTCATCTCACCGGCTGACAAAATGCAGAGGGGTTGGGGCCAGGGTGCATTGCCCCTCCAGAGACATCAAGAGCACAGAACCCCGAGCAGGATCCCTTCTTCCTTAGCTCAGGCTGCCAGGTCAAAATGCTACCCAGTGGCTGGCTTCCCTGGTGAGCATCCATGGCCTCAGGGTTCTGGGAGCTGGAAGTTCAAGGTCAGGGAGCCACTGTGCCCCGGTTCTGCGAGAGTTCCTTTATTTTTGTAGCACTGGGAATGGAACCCAGGACCTCATGCACACTGGGCAAGCGCCCCACCACTGACTACACCCAGCCATGCAGCCGGGTAGAGAATCACCTGCCTGCTGTCTGCAAGAGCATGTTTGCGTGGATGGCGCTGAAGCGAACAAGGTGTCCTGCTAGATGTCCAACCTCTGTCCTCGAGTCTGTGTCTGCACGGAGGGTCTTCCGTGCATGGGTCGCCACCTTCCCACCAGCACATCCGTTAGTGTCTCCACAGGTGGAGCCAAGGTTCTGACTCTCCCGTGCTCCTTCTGATGGGAAAAGAGAACAATTTGTTACCTGTAAAGTGTTGTTTGCATAGTCGACACTTGGAATTTCTAGGGAAAGAAAAAAATGTTATAATTCTTCCTAAACATTGGAAAGTTTAATCTAATGAAAAATAAAATAAAATACCACAAATTCAGGTTGGAGTGACTTTGGGGCTCCAGTCGGTGCATGATCACAGTGCCATATGTCCCGGTGTCCTGAGCTGGTAACCTGTGTGACTCACAGCACTAATTAGCCTTTGCCATCAGCCAGGGCGTGGTGGTGAAGCGTGGTCCTGTCAGCTCGACTGACTTGGGAGCTGCCACGGAGATTCGCAAAGCACACTTCTGGGTGTCTGGGTAGGTCAGGGAGGCACCGCTGCGGGGTCTCTATTTGGTCCCTCACCCTTTGTTCTTCTCTGGCTCTGTTCCTTCAGCTGCTTCCTCCTCCATGATGTTCCCGCCTTGGAGTCAAGCCAACCACAGACTGGATCCTGTGAGCTGAATAAACCATTTATGTATAAGACGTGGGCATTGGGAATGGGGTCTCAGCAACACAAAAGCTGACTCTTACAGATGACATTCTCCACCGTTTTGGGGCCCATCATGCTGTGGGGGTTGACAGCCCTCCCCAGGTCCACTCCTGCCCACAGGGAAGTGACCCAGGAGTCACCGACCCAAGATGCTCCCAGCATGACTTCCTCAGCCACCCTTGCCGTAGAGTCTTCTCATAGGGCATCCACACAGGAATCCGCAGAAGAGCACAGCCTCCTCCCACAGGCCGCTTGGCAGTATGATAGCTGTGTCTCCACATGCGAAGGAAGCAAGAGTCTCTTTCACTTTTTCTCTGGGAGCATCCTCCAGCATTTCTGAATATTTTAAACTTTCCCTGTGAATGGAATGCCTTTGTTTACACGGTCTTCATATCCCAGCTGTCTTCAAATGCAAATGCAGACAGGCAAACTTCTGCATGAAATTTTCCTCCCACACCTCTCCGCAGACCACCAACTCTCAGAACGTGGAGCTGTGCCCGGAGATGGAGGCAGGGAAGGCTGGCCATGTGCTGTTCCCACTGGGCAGGCGTGAGCCCCCTGGTGACCAGGCGAGTGCTTGTTCAGCATCCAACGCGCAAGGAGATCGATCGTCCTGGTGTCTTTGGAAGAGGTGGAGGAAGCCCTTTCCAAATAGGCTTTGCATTGATCTGAAAGAGGAGGTTTGCAAGGTATAAGATGAGTGGCAGGCATAGGATTAAGGGCAGCCTTGGAGGACTGAGAATAACTTTTCCCAACCATTGGAAGGATGGCTGCTTCTGATTCTACAGTTCCTTCCTACTCTTCACTACATACGTGATGATAAAAAATCTTCATATCAAGTGGTAGAAGGATAGATTTCTGCTGGAGATTGTGGAAATAACAAAGCAACTGCTCGGCACCCTCTCTGTGGAGTGGTCTGCAGATTTCCCAGAACCACTGATAAGCCAAGTCCCTGCAGAGGAGCGGGAAAGGAGCGGAAGGGGCTCTGGGCTGGAGGGAGCTCCCACTCCACTGCAACTAGTGCAGAAGAAACTCTGCCATGCTCTGAGACTCCAGGTCGGTGCTCAGGCCTGATCCTGGCACAGTGCACGGCCTGACTCTGCTCTCACTGCCCCGGCCCCATCTGCCCACAGGCGGAAATCCTGTCTGCAGTTTCAGCCCGATGGCTGCCAGCCTCCATGGACCCACGGGTCACCTCACCCCACCTCCCAGCCTCCCGTCTGCTGTCACCTGCAATCTCCAATCTCCAGTGTCCTTGTCTCTGACCTTTGTCACCAGCGGCAAGGATCCCAGATTCAGGAGCGTGTCTGAAGCCCAAGTCTTCAAACTGCCTCCTTCCTCCACCCACCTCTGGCTTTATCCTTGTCTCTCTCCCAGAGGCTCCACCCACTCCAGACACCAAGGCACTTCCTGTTGGCTTCTCCTCCCCTCGGGCGTGGCCTGAATTGTGGCCCTGGTCTTGTTGAAAAGCCTGCTCTTCGGAGTAGCTCCCTGTGGTTGCAGGGGAGTGAGTGCGCACACACACACACACTCCCTGGGTGTGGGCCTGTTGTGACCTTCAGTGGCTTCTCTAGGCTGCAGGGTGATGGAAGGAGATCTGTGACTTTCCCTTCCTGGTTTTCTTCCTCAGCCCCTGCACTGCTGGCCTGTGGCTGCTGAGGCCAAACACCAAGGAGACTCAGACGATGGGCAAGTGGGGACAGGAGGAGCCTGGGCCTCCTTAGGGTCTGGAGCCACTCTTGGGGTTGGGGCTCCCCGCCCTCTGACAAGTGAGCCCCCGGCTCAGTCCCTGAACCCAGGACTGTGCTGTGTCCAGGATGGAGCACAGACTAACCGTGCACCAATTCGAGTTAGAAAGTGGGAGTAGCAGCAATTTGGGTTTAAAAACCTATAAAAGACTCAGGATTGAAAATTGATCAAAACCACCAAGCTTGGAGGGCTCTGACATGAAAAGGCCTTGTCAGTTACCACTGCACTAAATAAGCAGATAGGTGCAAAGGACGTTAATTTGCAGCCCGATTGAACTACCTCGAAAAGTGACAGAAAGTTCCTGTGCAAAGGGGGCCCCTCGCGTTCCACTGGCCTCTCCGGACCTGGCCTGCACAGGGTGCAGGGAGCAGCGCGGCCTGCACACCCTGTCTTCAGGTCTCCTGCTGTCTGTTCCAGCACTGCGGACAGGTTCAGTCCCCACCCACAGGCGGCTTCCCCTGGGCAAGATTCTAAGTGGGCAGAGCAGGGCAGCAGGCTGGTTCCTCCTGGAAATATCAAATCCACAGCTGGCCCCTTGGGAGGCAAAAGTCTGTTTTGATCTGGAAAGGGAATAATGAAGCGGGAAGACAAGGGAAGAGGCCTGGAATAAGAAGCTGGAAGCGAACGACTCAGTGACTCTCCCTGGTGCTGGGGCAATACATTCAACATTCACAGCTTAAAGGAGGAGAGAGTCATTTGGTTCAGTCCATGTTAGGCTGGATCTAAGGAAGAAACAGAATGGTGAGGGTAAGAGGGAGAAAGCTGCTCCCCTCATTATAGCCAGGAAGCAGAGAGAAGGGCAGAGCTGGGCAGGAACCCCCTCCTCCAGGTCACACCCAGTGAGCACCTCCAACCAGGCCGTGTTCCACTGGCCCGCTGGCCCTCTGTCCCCCAATAGCACGGTCAGCCACCATCCCTGGACGGATTTGCTGATGAGGAGCACAGCGCCCCCACAGCCAGTCACCTTTCGCAGACTGATGATTTTCAGGGACATCTTAGGTTCACTCTGGAGAAGCCAGGGGACAGCAGTAGAGGCCTTGCCCACATTTCCTGCATCGGTGTCAGCTTGGTCATGGAGCAGACTTACTCATCCTCTTTCCTGGTTTACTTTTTTCATCTCCCTGGAAAGTCCTATGGCAACTGGGCTGAGTCTGCCAAGCCACGGTAGCGCTCGGACAATGGACAGGGAGATCACTGTGGAGACGCTGGTCCTGCCCACTGCTGCTGCATTTGCATTCTGTCTCATGGGGAACCAAGTAAACAACAGAGATGGAGTTAGAACCCAGCTTCTCCAGCATTTGAAAAGCTCTAGCCACCCCCTGTGCGGTGCTAATTGCGCAGCTTAAAAATCTGACTATGAACTGAGGCAGACCAAATAGCATAGTGCACTGTACTGTTCAGTAACACTCAAAATAATTAACTTCCTGGGGTTTCTGTGTCAGGAGTGTCTGTCCCTTAGGGGCCCGATCTCTTAAACTGAAGGTCAGTGGTGACCTTCTCTGGAGCCCGAGTCCTTCTCTGGGCTCCTCCCCAGCCCCGTTTATCTGGGCATGGGCATAGCTGCCTCTGCACTTTGATCTCCTCACTGGGGAGGAAAATGGCCCTTCGCAGAGAGAAAGCTGTGAGCTTGAAATATGGCACTTGACCGGCACATTCAGAACAGTGCCGGGATGGTGACTTCCCTTTATTAGCCACCACTGTCAGTTCTTGGTGTCATATCGTATCGGCCGGTTATTTTCTAGCTCAGCCCTGGTTGTCCTCCAGGGACATGGACATCGCTGCCTTGGCTTATTTCACAGTGCTCTCGAAGCACCTTTCCTCTCAACGATAGAGAGATGATAAGACGCAGCCTTGCCCGGCACAGATGCAGAAGTACAGTGTGGAACTGAGATCCACCCTGGCCGTGCCTAGGACAGGAGGAGCCCTGGCTCTGGAATCAGGGACAGGGAGAAGGGGACGGGTGTGTGCATGGCAGAGTGTGGGACCAGCCTCTGCAGAGTGTGGCGATCGAGGCAGTACAAGGCCCATTCCGTTGATGGCTCTGGGACTGGACGGCTGCTGGGGCTGCAGATCTATGGAATCCCACTGTGTGTATTACCAGTTCCCAAAACCAAGTCACTCGGTTCAGATCAGCTCAGACTAACATGGAATTCCAGGGGGACTGCAGAGGCCAGAAGAGCACCAGGCCTGGGAAGGAGTGCCCCAGGATGGCAGTGCAGCCTGCACGGGAGGTAGCAGAGCAGAGTCACGGATCCCAGGGTCCAGTGGGTGTGGCTGTCACGGTGGCCGACTGAGGACAGCATCTCCGGGGATGAATGTGCAGACTAAGAGCAGGAGCCACCCTGTGCTCCCTGGGCAGAGGATGAGGAGGTCCAGTCGTGGAAAGGGGAGGCCGGGAGGAGGGGACCTGATGACAGCTGTACCTTGTGCTCCTCTGCTGAATCCTGCAGGCCAAGTTACGCTTTAGGACAAGGTGGGGCAAATGACTGCCAGTCTGCATCACCTGTGTGGTGTCTTCTGCGGAGACCAGGTGCCGCGCTTTGCCTGAACGCATGCTGGGGCTGGGTCCACCCTCTCCTCTTTGCACTCAGTTCCACCTGACTGCAAAGTGGCTTCTATGCCAGGACTTCACCAGCCCTCGAATGTAAGCTCTCTACTGACTCACGCTCAGATAAGTGTGTGTGAGTAGGAGATAAGACGAAAGGATGGCACCTGGGCTGCGCCAAGGCCCCGCCAGGCCCGTGTTCCACGTAGGGACAAGGAGACACTTCGGGTCTGCGGTGCAGCCAAATGGGGGACACTTCTTCAGGGTGAGTTTGATATTGCCGGCGATCCCCACCTTTTGTTAAATATCAAGAAGTTAGGGGAGGTGGCAGCCGGAGAACGGGAATACATTCATGAGTTGCACTCCTGGTAAAGTGGATCGTTGAGTGATCACTCGGTGATTACATATGCACACACGTGCACATGCACGCCAGTCCCAGCCCACTCTGACTCCTCCTGTCCCAGGTCATTGCTGCCACGAGCCATCCGGCACGGGCTGGACAGCCCCTCCTCTGCTCGCCATCTCCCTGTCCGCACTCCTGGGCCTTGGATCCCAGCCATCTGGTCTCATGGAGGAGGCGGGGCTGCGATGGAGATGACATTTTCCTGCAGGAGATGGGGCTTCAAGGGTGGGACGTGGGCCCTTTCAAGTATCCCCTAGGGGAAGGGGGAACTCCCTGTCCGCACTCCTGGGCCTTGGATCCCAGCCATCTGGTCTCATTTGCTCTGCACATGGCACCACGTCCTGCAGAAGCCCAGGAGTCTCCGAGGTTTCAGCTGTTCCTCAGATGAGATTCTCCAACCCACTCTGAATATTGACAGAGATGTCACATAGGTCACTCATCCAGGAAAAGTGGCAGAGGGACGTGGCCGCCCCTCATCACTTCATCGTTAGCAGCCTAGTCCTAATTCTCCTTTTCTTATTTTCTTTTACCCAATCTCGTGCTTCTCTCCATTTTCCAGTTTAGACATCTCCACTTCCCCATTTAAACAGAGCAGATGTATAATCCTTTTATCTTCAAGCGCTCGCTTTCAATTCACTTTCTGTTTCTGTTTCCTTTAGGATGTGTGCTGGCTCATTTCTGTTCTTACTGTGACGACTCTGGCTTAGCCCTCAGGTCATCGCTGTCCTTATGGAAAGCCACCAGCACACTGTGTGACAAGCTCTGCCCTGCCGGTGCCACCTCCCGTCCCAGCTTTGCCCGTGGTAGCTTCTCGTGCAAGCTGCCTTCCTCCTTTCTTCTCCCAGTGCGAGCTTGCAGGCTTCTGTGATGTTCCCCTTCTTCCCACCTGTCCTGCAGAATGGAGGTAGCTCGTGCTCCTGGTACAGTGCGTTTAGCTCCTCTGTGAAGACCCGCAGAGCCGGTTAATCTTGATGGTCAACCGGACTTGGTCACCAGACTCCTGTGGAGATACTGGACTGTAAGGACACCAGCCTCGTCACTGTTCCAACCCACTGATTAGTCAGTAGTTCAAAGAACCGTGAAGAGGTGTGACCTAGGTCACAGGGGCATGGGCGTGGGGAGTGTGCCTGGTCATCAAGCTATTCTGGAGTCTGTTCTTGCTCTCTCTTTTCTGGATGCCACGAGTTGGTCAGCTTTTCTCCACTGTGCTCTTCTACTGTGATGTTTCTGCCTTTAAGCACACTCACCATGGACCGAACTCTCTGAAATCATAAGCTAAAAATAAATGACTCCTTCTTTATGTTTGGGGCATTGGGTATTTTTTCCCAGTGTCAAGAAAATTGACAAATCCATCTGCTTGCCGTGGAAATCTGTATGTGTGCATGATGAACACATGAGCACAGGTGCACATGTGCCAAAACAATGCAAATATGAAATGGTGCCTCCTTTATTCTTGGCTTTCCACATTCCAAGGCTCGACTCACTCTCCTAGCTACACCACCTGCGAGGTGTCTGCACCCTTCACTGTCCAGAGAATCTGCTCCCGTGTATCCCACACTGATCTTGCGTGCCTTTATTAGTCATTCAGAATCCTATTTATCGCTCAAGGTGTACCCTAAGATGCATCCTGTCTGTGAAGCTTTCTTCCTCTTGCAGCCCACAGTTTGAACTGGGCTCTGACCCAAGCCAACGTGCCCTGCTCAGTCCGAGATTCTCTTGTAGATCCCTCCAAAGAGTGTGGAGGTTGCAAGGGTGAGCTGCTCCCACACACTGAACCACCAGGTTATGAGAAAAGCGAGCCTGAAGTGCTGAGTGCAGCCCCTTCTACAAGCAAGATGAAGCTCTGGCTCCTTACTCTTTGACATTCTCTGACTAGGTTTTGCATAAAAGGATAGCTTGTACCAGACGAAGTAATTCCTGTCATCTTTAGAATTGGCAGCAGGTAATGAAAAGTTCTTTGGCCTCAAAGTTGAGCAGAAATCTCTTCATGGATCAAGCTTCAGTCACTCTGTCAGACATACAAATGATAGGACTCCTGCTGCCTGGAATATGTCTCCAAAACGTTTCTAGTTCTCCCCTCTTAAGTGCAGCTCATTTTGTTTATGTACTGGTGATACGTGGGTGGTGGTAGAGATCCACGGAGAGTTCAGAGCTTTGACCCGGCTCTGACACTGAGTGGATGGACAGAGGAGAGAGAGAAGATGCCCAGAGGACAGGTGAACATGCTACGGATGGAGCGAAAGCCATGCAGTCACCACGACTGACAACCTTCTGAGAAGGCTGCAAGGTGGAGCTGGAGGGGAGAGGAGCCTAGGGGACAGTAGGAGTAAGTAACATAGAGAGTGGCGATTGTTCAATAAAAGCGACTCTAACAAGAGACCATTGCCAACAATAACTTTGCTAATTAGTGGAACCCCAACATCACTCTCACGCACACACACACACTTCTGACATTTAGCACTTAGAGTATCAAACTTATGATGCTGAGTGAAATGATCAGCATCTTCTTCATCAGAAGCCACCCACAGAGTTCAGCCATCCTGAGTACAAAGCTTTGGTAGGTGCTGCCGCTGGGTGTGGAATGAGGACAACGGAAGTAGCCTTTTCTAGCAAAAAAGCTCAAAGCAAACGACACAGTGCTACCGCTCTCCCCGCCCAGGCACTGCAGACCATCTCCAGGATGCTAAGGGGCTCTTCTGTGCATGTGAGCGTTAATCCAAGCATTACTTAAAACCCTGCATTGAGCTTCTGCTGGGTGTGAACTTGAAGAGTGGCGTTGACTTATTTGCTGCTTTTCTCTCCATGTAGCTGTTACAGGAAAGTTGAAATGTACCCAGCAGCACTGTTGGCAGGCTGCCTAGATTCCATTCTTGACTGGCTCCTGAGAGCTTTGAACTGGATGGGCAGCTAATATTACTTGTGTATGTGACCTCCAAGGAAATGTCATAGCAAAGATGATGACAACAGATTACTATTCACTGTGCACTTAAAAAATCTCTGGTTAAAATCTGGCGGCTTTCCGTTTATTTTAATTTTTCTCTGCATTTGTTTTTCAAACTGGTGGTTCTGTTCACATTACTGTAATAAATTATTCCAGTCTTGCCTATATATATTTACCAGGAGAGCAAATCAGGCTCTGGCACACAGGGCAGCACCCCCGA